CTGGCTTTGGTCAGATCCATCTTTTTAGGCACGTATCTGCCTGGGCTATTTTTCTACCTCTTTCTTTGCAACACTTGCGTGTCTTTCTTTTGAATGTCTCAGTAGACAACAGATTTTTTTTTCCAGTTGAGGAACTCCCACTTTGTCCACATTTTAACATCTTTAGATATAGTTGTATCTGTAACTGTACATATGGTATATGTACAGTTCATATACCATACTGCTTGCCTGTTTAAAATGTAAAATTAAAGGACCTTTTAGTAGATTCATGGACCAGCGCAGCTGCCCCTGCTCTCTAACTTCAGGGCACTTTCATCCTGGCTAGAAGAAACTCCACACCTGGGCATAGTCGCCCCATTTTCTCCCAGCATCTGCCACTGGGACATGTTCTGCAAATGGCATGGGCCATCTGTGTCTGTCCTGCCTGAGCTGCTGTTTATTTTCAGGCTCACCATGCTGCATGATGGTTGGAACCTTGCTTCTTTCCTTGAGGCCCTTGGCACTGCGCTGTCACATGCATACCGCATCTGCCATTCTGGTGCATCAGGGACACTGGTCCCCATTCCGTGGCTGTCGGGGATGCTGCTTTGGTGAGATTCCTATATGAGGGTCTGTGTGTGGGATCCCTGCTCTGGGATTGGAAACTTTAACCAATGCTCATTGTCTTTGTTACTTTTCTTGTTGCTGAGACAAAATACCCGACACCCAAGGTTAAAGAAAGAAAGGTTTCTTTAGCTCACAGTTTGTGGAGGGTTCAGTCCATAGCTGGCTGGCTCCAAGGCAGGGTGGCACGGCAGAAGGACATCACAGAAGAGAAACAGTCCACTGTATGCAGGCAGGTGAGAGAATACTATCCCTCTTTCTGTCCCTTATATTTTACGCAGGCTCCCGGCCCTAGGGTGGGTGTAGCACTCACACCCTTAATCCTAGCCAGAAGTATGCCAAACCAATCAGTGGACTGATTTAGCAATCACACACCCTTCGTCCTGGCATCACGCACTTTAAATCCAGCCCCCTCTGAACCATGCCCCACAGGTGCATGAGGTTTTTAGGTTAGAGGGACATTAAGACACAAGCCACAGCACACATTATTGTGCTAACTCATACTGGGACTTCTTTGCCATTTACTTTTATTTTTTTCCCTCCTAATTTTCCCCATTGGCTACTGGGTGTGTGTGTGTGTGTGTGTGTGTGTGTGTGTGTGTGTCTGAAAACTTACACATTCTATTTTTTATTATGGTCACCATTATGTTAAGACTCATTTCATGTCTACTTATTCCCCTGATGACGCTCATTGGCACCTCTTCTTCTTCCTACTAGCGAACACTGCGTCCCATGGTCCTGTCTGGTGGGCATCCTTATCCCTGCCCCGTGCCAGCAGTAACTACTGTGCCTTCTCTTCAAAGTTATTCTGCATTCTTTTTACATCTAGTGTTGCTATGAAAACTCCGATGTCAGTGTGAGCTTTCTTCCTTTGAAGATTCTTCTCTCCATGTCTTGTAGAATCTTTCCCTGGGTTTCGCAGAATGGGCTGTGGAACTCGCTCTTTGGCCTGGCTTTCTTCTGGTCACAGATGTGGCTTCAAAAGAAGCCACCAGTTCCCTTCCAAAGCGCTGTACCACCTCCCCATCACCCCCCCCCACACATATGCACGTGCTAGTCGCTCATCTTGCTTGCCAAGACTTGGTACTTGTGGTTAGAAAAATCTTTCCTAGACATTCTAGTAGATGTCTAATAGTAACTCATTTATGGTTTAGATATGCATTTCCCTTAAGACTAATAAGATTGGGCATATTGTTATGTGTTTTTGCCATCTGTATGGCTTCTTTGGAAAATATCTGTTCAAATATTTAGACCATTTAGAAAATCCAGTTGCCTTTCTCCTTGAGTTCTAGGCATTCTACATTTGTATTTTTTCCCAGTTTATGGTGTATTTTTATGCTTTCTTTTCTTTCTTTCTCTCTTTCTTTTTTTTTTTTTTTGGTTTTTGTCCAGTACTGGGAACTGAGCTGATGACCTTGTGCTTGCCCGGCAGGCGCTGAGCCACTGAGCTAAATCCCCAACCCCTCTTCTTCTTTCTTTATCTCTCTTTCTTTCTCTTTCTTTCTTTTTTTTTGGATACAGGGTCTTGCTATGTACTCCAAGCTGGTCTTGAACTCACTGTGTAACTCGGTGGCCTTAACTCATGGTGATCGCCATGCCTCAGCCTCCCAAGTGGTAAGATGATAGGCACATGCCAGCACACCCAACTTGAAGCCATTTTCCAAAGAGAAGTTTTGAAGTCAACTCCATACTTTTACTTTTATTTTCATCATTTTTCATTGCCCTAGGAAATCTTTGTCTGCCTTAATATTTTCTCCAGTGTTTTCTTCTAGAAGTTTTATGACTTAGGTTTATGTCTGTGGCCCCTTTCAAGTTAGCTTCTCCAGTGTGGGTTAAAGATCAGTGCTCACTTTCTCCCACACAGCACTGGGTTTTTTCTGCTCGAGTTGCTGAGAAGAACCCATGCCACCTTTGCCAACCACATGGGTGCTCGTTCCTGATCCTCCTGGTCTCCTAGTGTCTTAGTTACTTTTCTCTCATTGCTGAGACACTATACACCCAAAATTAAAGGAGGAAAGGTTTATTTAACTCGCAGTTTGTAGAGGGTTCAGTCATAATCAGCTGGCTGTAAGGCAGGGTGGTGTAGCAGAGGGACAGCCGACCATGGTGGTGGAAGATACCAAAAGCCACAAGACAAGCGGGGAGGGCAGGCCTCTTTCCATCCCTTATACTGCATGCGGGCTACCTGCCCTAGAGTGTAGCACTCACACCCTTAATCCCAGCATTAGACCACGAATCAATCACCAACTCTAGACTCAGCTGCCTATGAAAAGCCCACCCACCACGACCGCATGAGACCCAAACCATAACACCTGGCCTTTGGCTCCGAGGTTCCCCCTTCCCAGGAGGTCGATGTGCAGTGAAAGGGGGTGTGCCTGCTCCTGCCTGTGCTTCCATGTTTGTAGCAGGCTTTTCCTAAAGGCCACGGGATCCAGAGTTGCTGGGGGCACACCGCTGTCCTTGCCTTCCACCAGGCACCTTGCACGCCTCTGAAGAAAGGATGACAGGGCGGAGGACGTGTGGCCTGGCACAGGGACCCGTCCAGTACCACCCGCGTCGATAAGGCCTTTCAGCTCCTTCCACACTCGAGGAGCCAGCTGCTCTGACCCCTGGTGTCCTCTTCCTTTTCGTTGCCTCTGACACCAAGCCCATTTGCGGGTGGCTGTCCCTGTCCCGCCTCAGTGACACGGGGAGATGCTGCTCTGCTTCCTGGAGGCTGTGGCACCTGGCTGCCCACTTTGCCCCACAGGCAGAGGACCTGGTGTTATAGGCAGCCAAGTTAGATAGAAATATTATAAGCAGTCAGACAGGGCCAGGCCCTTGAAGGAGCCAACAGGAAAGACAAGATACCTTGTGAATGGAGACACTTGCTGTGGGCCAGACCTCAAGACAAAGGACTAAACAAATGCACCCACATGCCTCCCTAGGTGCAAACATCAGGGATTGATATTCTAAATAGGTAAGAACCACCTTCAAAAAGCCAGAAAGAGTCACTAGCCCAGCGCCCTACAGGAAAAGCCCCTGTTCTGTATTCATGCCCGCTTGCTACGTGACTCACTTCCCCATTGGATCCCAGTTTACTCAATTTTACCTGAACAGTTATACTTGTAATCTTATTGGCTGACCATAGTTTTGTCCCACCTCATACCACCTTGTAACTCCCCTATCTTGGACCCGACCTGCCTCACCTCTTGGTTTTGCCCCATGAAGTCCCTGGGAAGGGCAAGGTCCTTGGCAATCCGCTCAGGCTCCCTTCTGCCCCTCTCTTGGACAGAAGCTTTCTTTCCCTCAAGACATGTATTCTGCTCTTAACCTCCGCTGTTCCTAAAATTCATTCTTCGATTTTAGAGAACATGAACTCATCCCAGATATCATTCAGGTTGGGAGTTTTTATTTTCCTGTATCACTGGGAAGGAGCCGCAGAACCACTTGGCTCCCGTGGGCACCACCAGCACCAGCGAGGCCCTGTGAGGCTGCCTGCCTCCTCCGGGAAGCCCCCAGCCCTGGTCTCAGGGAAGGGACAGGGTTGCTGAGGGCGCAGATTTCAGTGTACAGTGGCTGCAGTCTGGGCAGTAACAGGCATCTGGGCCCATGCCATTCTTGGTGCCCACAAGGCACGGGCATGGGCATGGGCGGGGCGGTAGCCGCATGGGTACCCGGCGGTCTCATCCCTGACCTGGCTGCACCTCTGCCTGGGAAAGTGCTGAGTCCTTGTACCCAGAGGGGGACAGCAGGGTGGGAGGGAAGACCTAGACTCTGCTTCTCACCCTCTCCCTTGCGGCCAGAACAGCCCCTCTGCTTCCCCTCACCCCTGCACAGGAGCCATGGACAAGGAGCCCAGGGCACCTGCGGGCATTGCCTGCAGGGTCCCTGCTGCCCTGCAGCCCTCTGCATCCTGAGTGTGGGGCAAGCAGAGGCTCCACACCTTCCCTGGTTGGGCCCTGCCAAAAGGGGATCTGACACTGTCCTCTGGCCACGGGGCTCAGGGGACAGGGGCCAGACCGCAGGACCTAACAGACACCAGGCCCAGAACCAGGCATGGAGTGCAGGAACACAGCAAGTCTCACCCAGTGCTCAGCCGGTGTCGTTCAGAAAGTGTTTCTGAGTGTACGGAGGTTCAAGCCTCCCCTTGGACACCCACATTAAAGTCTCTCTCCTTCTCCTCGCCCCTTTTCTCTCTCTCCCCCTTTCCGTTTGGCTGGAACCTGACCCCACCATTCCCTGTGAGGGCGAGGACATTGCTCAGCCCTACCTGCCCTTGAAATCTGCCTACTATTCCTGGGGTGAAGAATCCCTGGTCCACCATAACTGACCACTCAGGAGTCCTGGGTCGGGGGCCAGTTTCAGGGACTTGTCAAGAGCAGGCCCCTGGGCGCAGCTTGTCAGGCCTCATGAGGTGCTGGAGGCAGCTTGTTTGTTTATTGCAGGGACACTGGGGACGGCAGGCATCGGCCACCAGGGTGAGGTCACTTCTTTGCGGCCTGCTTCTTCCAGGCTGTTCCCTTCTTGCTGCCCCTCCTGCCTCTGCTGAAATTCAGGCCCACATCAGGCTCCTGCAGCCTAAGAACCAAAGCCGAGAGAGGCAGGTTTAGGGAACTGGGTGAGGGATACAGGCCCTCCCTGGGTGGGGTCCTCTGGGTGCAGCTCCCACTGGGGTCCTGGGGCATCTTCGACCTTTGTGCCTGTTACTCTTCCACTTTTCTGTCTTCCTGAGATGTGCAGTTTGCATAGCATGTGGCCACCTCCCTGTCCCCCCATGTTAAGGGACAATGTTGGGCTGGCGAGCTTCTGGGAGTGGGGACCAGTACCCCTCAGACTGAGGGCTAGGGCTGTGGTGTTTTGCTCCAGTATCCACAAAGGGCCCGGTCTCCACCACCCAGAATACCTCCATATCTCCGAGGACAGTCTGGCCACCCACCTACTGTTTCAGTAGAATGGTGGACGCCAGGGACTGACTCATGCCTGGGGGAGGGGTGTCCTCTGTGGACCCTGCCTGAGCCCCGCCTGTCCTGTTGTCCCAGGCCAGGGTGGACACCTACTTCTCAGGCTGAGGAGAGGTGTCCTTCTCTACTTTGTCCCCCAGGGCCACTGAGGAGAAGCTGCCTTCCAGATCTCCGGATATGACTGCCTTGGCGGCGTAAGAATCCTCCAGGGCTGAGGTAGGGGCTCGGATACTGAGGGAAGACAGAGGGCAGTGCTGAGCGGGTGAAGGAGGCCAGGCTTGCTCAGTGCTGCCCGACTGCATCCCAGGTCCTCTGGAGATGGCACAGGACCCGCTGTTGTTCAGGACACTTGTGTCTTCACCTATTTGTCTGCCCACCTGCCCGCCATGCTGTGCATAGGAAATTCACATGGGTCACATGGGTCATATGGGGACAGGCATGGGGGGCATGATGCCACCAAGTGTGGCCACGCGGGCTGGTTCTCAGGTTGGAGTCCCAGCCCTTAGCACCCTAGCCGATGACCTGAGCTCTCCAGAGGTCCTTGGTGGGGACAAGATCACCCTGAAGTAGGGCGGCCCCATCCCATGTGACCGACTCCTGTCACAGCGTGATGCCCAGGGACCCCCGGAGCCGTGTGCCACAGCCAATGGATGACCAGAGACGGGAAGTGGGACATGCATGGCAGGAGTTGCCCATACCTTGCCCCAGCCACCGGCAGCTGGCACCCAGGACAGAGTAGCTGCTGTTCAAGCTGTGCCACTGGGGTGTCCGTGCCGGCTGTCCACAGTCTGGGTGCCCACTGGGATGCAGGTCTCACGGACCTGAGAGGCTGGCAAATCATCGTCCAGTGCTACATCCCAGCAGGCAAGGCTCTTGTGCTTGCCCGTGGGACTTGGCCACTGGGTTGGGAGGAAGCCCAGGTTCTTGGGGAGACCACCGGGCAAGTGAGCAAGTGAGCAGGTAAGCTTGAAGGACAGAGCTCTCCTACCCCCGGCTGGGTCTGTGCTGTTTCCTGGTTGGTACTAGAGCCCTTAGAGCGTCATTTTCTGGGAGAGACCGTGCGGGGCATCGCCCAGAGGCTCCTCCAGAATCCCGGTGCTGCTGGGTGCAGTTTTGGAGACCCGTCCTTTCCTTCTCAAAAACTCAGGCCCTGCTGGAGTGTGCGTCTCTCTGGTGTGTGATCTACTATTCTCTGAAATTACCTGAGAACTGGTGTAAGCTAACAAAGTCAGGGAACCGGGACTCATTTCGTAATGACCCGATTATAAACACACAGCGGGCAACATCTCAAGGTGCTATAGGGGTGGGCTGGTGCTGCCCGAGTTCTGACCAGGACGAGTCTCATGATGCTGGCTCCATTCAGCCAGCGCTCCACCACGTGGGGTCACTGTGTGAGCCCCACACTCCTCCGGCCCTCCTTTCGGGACCCCTCATCTGGCTGTTCCCCATGGGGTACTGCCCTGCTGAGTGCCTAAAACCAGTGATCTTCCCTAAGGCAGCCTCGACTCATCCTGAGCACTGCTCTTCTAGAGCTGAGATGACTGCCACTGTCTGTTTTGTTTTGTTTTTTTGTTTTTGTTTTCCTTCCGGTACCAGGAATCAAACTCACGACCTCGTGCTGGCCAGGCAGGTGCTGTGCCGCTGAGCTACATCCCCAGCCCCCTGACCGCCATTGTCTGTAGCCGGCCAGGAGGTGCTCAGAGGACCTTGCCTCGCTTCCTCCGTAGGCACCTGACTGCTTCAAGAACTGAGAACCACAGCGTCTGCAGGGACAGGAGCTCAGGGCCTGAAGCAGTGGGAGGAGGGATGTGCAGCTGGGGCTCCTCTGCCCATGTCCCAGCTCCACAATATCCCCAGCAGAAACCAGCCCCATGCACAGCATCCGGGTCCCTCTGTCCCCAAGACAGCCCCTGCTGCAAACTTGTGTCCCAGAGAAACAGTGCCCCTGGGGGAGGCCACTGCTCCTCTCTGGTCTCTCCTGCTCCTCTCCTGGGGCCCCATGGGCTCCCCCATGCCACCTTTACCTGAATTTGTAGTTGTCTGGCAGGAAGTAACCCATCTTGCAATCATGCCTCGCCTGGAAGATCTGTTTCAGCAGATTCTGCTTGCTGAAGCCGTACCCGTTCAGAACACAGCCTCCGAAGAGCAGTCTACCCCCAGCGAACATCTGCCGGTAGATGAAGGGACGGTGCCATGAGGGCCCAGTGCAGATTGGGGACCGAGCAGGAGCACCGAGCTTCACCACAGCACGGGGCCGTTGGCCTCTGAGGCCTGGGGGGTGCAGGCTGGTGGTGTCTGGGGCTGCCATCCCCATTGTCCACAAAGCATGGTTGCGCTGGGCCAGGCCCTTGGGGCAGAGGGCAGTGCAATTGCCCAGTGTGTCCGCCACAAGGCCAAACTGCACCAATGCCAAGCCACACGAGCCCACCTGCGCAGTCTCTGCTCAGACGGCTCCACTCACCCGAGACACAGTCTGGGCTTCCACTTCCAACCCAGCAGGCGGGATTCAGCCCATCCCACAGACAGGGGCCTGACACAGGGCTCACAGTAAAGTATTCCTCCTCCCGTGTGCCGTTCCCTGCCACAGAGACCCTGCACAAAGATTTCTGGGCAGGGGGCTTCCCTACAGCATTGTGTGTCATGGAGGAGGGAAACAGGGAGGAGAAGAGAGGGAAGGAAGAAAAAGGAAAGAAAAGTAGAGCAGGAAAGGAAGGAAAGAAATAAGAGAACATTAAATGCTCAACTAAAGCAGCACGGATAGAGATAAAACGACAGACTCCTGTCCAGGGTTGAAATCAGGTATCCCACACCTGATGATGTGGGGAATGCCCATGTTGCTTTAATTAAAAAGGCAGGACCTGCAGTGTGTCATAGGAAGACCACAAGGCTGAAAAGCATAATGCCAGTGTGGTGTGGAGCCAGCAAGGCCTGGACTGTCACTGCGGGACCTGTGCATGACGCTGGGTGACTGTGGGCATCCTGACTATCCAAGTTCAGCATGAAGTGATTTAGAAACAGAGGCAGAGACTTTGGCTCCCTCCAGAGTCCAGGGAGGGGCCGCGTGGGAAGCTGGGGGACGTGGGCAGAGCTGGTCTCTGTCCCTCCCACCCAAGGTCCCTGCCCCCGGCTCACCAGGACCATTCCTGGCACCACAGAGAACTTGGTCACCAGCAGGGGTGGGTGGCGCTGCAGGGGGCTGTCCAGGTCATACTGCAGCAGGCGGTATGGGTCGCGCCGGCACTGCCGAGAGAGGTGGGGCTGTGATGCCAGGCCTCACTGGAAAGAGGCCACCATGAGATGACTGCCACGGGTCACCAGGAGCCCAGGACTGTGGGATGTGACGCTTCTGCCCTATGATGTGAAGGTGGCCCATCCTGTGTATGTCCCCAGGTGCACCCTGTTCTAGACCCTCCAGGTCCTGCCTTGAATGCTCTGCCCTAACTCCCCAGCCCTGCTTTCTGGGGACTGTCATCAAATGAACTGAGTGCCGACACAGTTGCCCCTGGGTTAGAGTCCTGTGGGTCCACAGGGACGGCCATAGCACATGTTCCTGAGAAACACTCACTGAACCAAGCTGAAGCCTTGGCTGATTCCCACCCTGAGGATGGGAATGGAGCCCCCACCCAGGAACTCCCACTCAGAACCCCGCAGCAAGGCAAAGGTGCCAGGTCCCAGGAGGTGTGAGGGAGGCACTGTGTGAAGGAAGGCGCCGGTGGACACCTGCGTACAGGCTGGAGTGGAGCCTTGGCTCCAGTGAGGGTGAATCTAGGGGTGGCGAGGCTGACAGAGGCGAGGTCGTCAGGAGTGACCCTACAGAAGCAAGGAGGTGGGAGGGGAGGGGATCCATGTGCCCTGGGGGTGGGCCTGAGACTGCTCAGCTTCTCCTGCAGGGACCAGAACCTCGAGCCACCTGCTCCCTGTCCACTGCATGGACAGGCATCCCTCTCCCTCCCCCAGGTGAACAGCTGCACATGTTGAGCTGCAGCTCACAGCACACCCTGCTGGCAGTGGTCGCAGATGTTTTCTGAGCCCGGAATGTGGTCTCTGCTCTTGATGGCTATGCACATAGAAAGCTCAAACTGTGCATTGCTCTGGATGAGCAAAGCAGCACCCAGCTTTGTCCTGAGGGCCAGAAGCAGTGAGTTGTGAGACATTCAGGGTCATTCAGGGACAGGAGAAGGAGTCGTGAGAAGAGGGGGAGGTGTTATACACAGTGAGGGGGGTGAGCAAAGGCCCTGGGGACCCAGGGACCTGAGAATGGGGCTCCATGTCTCTGCAGTACCCCAGGCCCCGCCTGTCCTGCTCCACACCCACCTGGATGCAGGGTGAGGAGCGGCCCTGCTGCCCCTGGCTGTACAGCGTGTCCAGCAGCCACTGCAGTTGTACAGTGTCCATTGGGGTCCCGCTTGCAAGGATGCCAAACACCAGCACCTGTCCAGGGTCACGGGGAGCTGAGAGGAAGCGCTCCAGCTCCAGGTCAGACACCAGTGGTGCCTTCACCGTGCACCTGCAGCCTGGGCGAGGGTCCTCCTTGCACACCAGCTTGCGCAGCACCAGCGGGCAGTCGGAGGGCACAGCTGCCCACTGTGAGGGGCTGCGTTCCTCAGGGATCTTCTTCCTGCAGGAGGAGTGCAGTTGAGTGGGCACCAGCCAAGGGGGTGGGTCCTTACCACCCCAGCCTCTGTTTCCCTGGATGCAAAGGGCTAACATGCTACCCACTCACCCACCCTCTCCTGAGCCTCCTTTTTCCCTCCTCAGGCAGGGATAGGCCCTGTCACCCACCCACTGCTCTACCTTCCCTGCCAGCCCATTCCTAGGTCCTCCTGAGGGGTCAGGGGCTGGCTCCCCCACCTGTCTCTGGGCTGTTCTTTTTTTTTTTTATTATTTTAAGGAGAAAAAAATTTCAAAATAAGATAATAGGAGAGTAACAATGGTTAATACATTGCGCATAGTTATCTTTGTTTTTTTTGATACTGGGAATCAAACTCAGGACCTTGCACTTGCCAGGCAGGCACTTATGCTACTCAGATATATTCCAAGCCCCACACTGTTATCTTTAAATTAGTTATTAAGAGTACAAGATATAAGCATTTAATTGTCCAAACAATATTAGCTCAAACCTTCCTTTTCAATGAACTAAGAGAAATTAGTAGTATAACTATCCTATCTTGTGTATATATATATATTTTTTAAGTTTTGTTTTTCTCTTCTTTCTTTTCTCCTTTCCTCTATCCCAGTTTCTCTTTCCTTTTGAACAGTTCCCTCCTATTTTACAATATCTATTGTACATTTTGGGTCTTATTTACTCTTTCAGCTTCTCACACTAGGGAGACAATATGACGTTTACACACGTGAGTCTGGTTTACTTCGCCTATGAGTATGGTGGCTTTCAAGATTCTTTTTGTCTTTACCTATAAAAGTATTCAGATTATCCTTCTTTATGGCTGAGTAGTACTCCATTATATAAAAAGACCACATCTTTTGTATCCATTCCCCTGCTGATGGGCATTTGGGTTGTTTTCAAGATGTAGCCATTACAAATTGTGCTGCTAAAAACATGCATACACATATATCACTGTGGTATGATATCTAATTCTTCTGGGAAGATACCCAGAAGGGGAATAGCTGGGTCAAATGGGACCTTCAATCCTAATTTTTTGAGGAATCTCCACATTGATTTCCACAATGGTTGTGCTAGTCTATACTCCCACCAACAGTGGAGAAAGTTCCTTTTCCCACACAGCTCTACCAGCATTTGTTACTGATTTCTTTCCTTTTTTTTTTTTTTTTTTCAGTACTGGGAATTGAACTCATGACCTTGTGCTTGCCAGGCAGGCGCTGTGCTGCTGAGCTAAATCCCCAGCCCCACTGGTTGATTTCTTGATGATAGCCATTCTTTCTGGGGTGAGATGGAATCTCAGTGTTGTTTTAATTTGCATTGTTCAAATGACCAGTGATGTGGAACATTTTTTCATATATTTATTTGCTGTTTGCGTTTCTTCATCTGAGAAGTGTTATTCATCTCAGATGCCCTGGGATGTTCTTCACTGGTGCTGGTACTCTAACGTCAGCCTTAGACAATCACGCCAGTGCTTGAGAGAAACAGTGCTTGATTGGCTGACAGAACCCAATGGCATTCCAGCTTCCTCCCTCCCTAGCCCCGGGCCTCCATAAAAGGACAGCTGACATCAGCCCTCCTTGCTGTCCCCAGGGACACCATGGCTCCTCGTCTCAAGGGGCCTGACCCATCCGGGGGTCCCCAAGGGGCCATCTTGGGGCTTGGCTTCCTTCTTCCTGCCCTTGAAACTTTTCAGGCACAGCAGCCCCAGGAAGCAGTTGTTGGAAGCACATGAAGCGTAGATCCCAGACACAGCCTCCTGGTACCCAGGAAAATAGTCAGGCCACAACCAGATCAAACCTCTAGTGAGGAAGGGGCTGAGGAAGGAGGAGCATGGGACAAAGGCTCTGCAAGGCTCCTGTGTGCTGAGGGATCTAAATACCAGGTGTGGACACTAGCTTCTGCTTCTGGCTGACCTCTGGGCAGAGGCTGGCACACAGCTGTTCACAGCTGGCCCAACGCACTGCACAGGTGCCCTGCACACTGCCAAGGTGCAGACGTGGGCAGTTTCCCCTGTTAAAGAGCTCTAGGCAATCTCTTGTCAGATCATTAGTTCCCCACTAAATCAACTGCCAGAGATTCCAGTCACTGCACATGACAAAGAACAGTCTTTAAAGGCAGTCTTTACAAGCCAGGCATGACGGACATGTCTACAATTCCAGCACTCCAAGGCTGAGACAGGGGGACCACAAATTTAAGGCCAGCCTGAACTATAGAGCAAGACCCTGTCTGAAAAGAAAAAAAATTCATCTTTATAAAATTGCTTGGAAAAGCCATTAAACAACTATAAACTGCAATAAGCAGGACGACAAGCTCTGCAGAGACAAAATTTGACATCCAGAGTTACTATAATATTCTAAATGTTTGGTTTTGAAGAAGAAATTATGAGGCATGCAAAGAAACAAGAAACTCCTGGGAAATGAGATTAACAGGAGCTGACCCTGAGGAAATCTGGATGCTGAACTCACTGGAAGGACTTTAACAGTCTCAAATATGCTCCAAGAAGATCAGTGAATAAGAACAAAAGGAAATCAGGGGAAAATGTCCCATCAAGTAGGGAATATCAAGACATAAAAAGCAAGCAACTAAAAAGTCTAGAGTTGAAAAGTACAATAACTGAAATGACCAGTTCAATAGGGGGCAGAAGGCAGAATTAGGCAGAGGGGGACTCAGGGTTATCTAGGCTGAGGAATGTAAGAAAAAGGGGTAAGGCAAAATCCACAAGCCATGAGACACCTGAAGGAAAGACTGCCTGAGGTTCTTTGAGTTTGATGAAAGGCAAGAAACCACATATCCCAGAAACCTGACAAACTCCACGTAAGATAAATTCAGAGATCTACATTGTATGCCTTATAATAAAATCATCAGAAGACAAAAAGAATCTTGAAATCCACAGCCAAGCAGCAACTCATAACAATGTGGCATCCTCAGTAAGGCCAACAGCCTCCTTCTTTCCCAAAATCGTGAAGCCAAAAGGCAATGGGGTGACATGTTTAACTACTGAAAGAAACCTTTAAAGTCCCATCAACAAATTATACAGTGAGCGCAACTCTCCTTCAAAGGTGAAGGGAAGATTGACATACTGCCAGAGAGACAAAATCTGAGGGGCTGTCTCTAGAGACATCCCACAGGGAATGCTGAAGAGACCAGGTGAAATGGAAACATGCTGCATGCTGAAAGCTATATATGTACATAAAGAACATGGTAAAGTAACTACATAAGCAAGCAGAAAGACAGTTTTCTTAGATTTCCAGTTTATAAGTCCTCTGTTTTCTCCCTCTTATGGCTTATATCTAGATGTCCCCACAAAGCCTCATGTGATCATAGGTGAGGCTTTTCAGAGGTGGCTGGATCTAGAGTGTGATGTTGGAATTAAGTGTATGATCCTGCCTCAGCCACCCAAGTGCTGGGATTGCATGCATGCACCACCATGCCTGGTGTAAATTCCCCATCATTTCATGAGTCGTACAATACTCTTTTGACTTTTTCCTCCCAAGTGCTTACAAATGTAAACACCGTTCTTAGCTTGCCCATGAGAGGGGAGGCAGCAGGGTTTTTGACTTGGTCCCCACCAGCTCCCTGTGCTGACGCACGACTCTGACGTGTTTTCTTCCCAGCTTTGATCAGGGTCTAAAACCATGTCATCTGTCCGTGTGTTCGTTGCCTGTTTTCCCACCCAGGGCTCAAGTTGTCCAGTCCCTGTCCTGCCCATGCGGCCGCCTGGCACAGGCCCTGCCTTGTGGAGGGAATGAAGGATCAGGCCAACCTGGGGGCAGCCGTGGCCTTGGCCTGGACTCTGGGCATCTTCTTCCGGATGGGGCTGGTGGGCGTGGGCACCGCCTGCTCGGGCACAGAGTCCTCCATCACAGACTCTGGCCGGCCCGACTGGAACCGGGGAAGGGAATCCCCTGGGTGCAAGCTCAGCTTCGGGGCACGCTCGGCTGGGGCGCTGGATTTCAGCTTGGCCTGGGCATATTCGGCCTCCTCCTGCACGGTGGGATACTTTATGGTGAAGAGGCCTGGAACAGAAGACTCTGTTGTCCCTCCTGTCACTCCTGTCCTCACCACCCTGCTGAGCACAGGCCCAACCAAGACAGCTGGCTGGCTCTGTGCCCACTGGCCACACAGGACGCTGCTCAGGGCACGCACTCTCCCAGACCCAGCCTCAGCTCCCTCTCTGTGGGCACCCTGCGTCCCAGTTCCTTCCTGCTGGAGCCCTGTCCTGGGCTGCTCTGTCTGCCCAATGCGTGGTTCAATGGGAACGCGAGGGCCACAGCCTCAGGAGCTGTTTGGGCTGAGAGGGAACTGGGGCAAGACAGAGACCAACACTGCACAGAGCAACAGACAGAGATGATGACGCTGTGTCCCAGACAGGAGCTGGTGTTCTCTGGCCGAGCTGGGACTTCCAGTGCAGCCAGCTGCTTCCGGCTCCAGGGCGGACAGCGAGTAGAGGGGACGCAGAAAGGAAATGGGCCTGGTGCTGGGTATCGAGGTTTGTAACAAGAGCTGTGCAGGGGGCTGTGGCCAGAGGAGACGCGGCCCCTTCTGCTAGGGAGGGTCAGGGCAGCTCCAACGGGTGCGATAGAGGCAAGGACCAGCTCCCTAGAGGCCATGGGGACAGCACAGGGACCCCCTTGCTGCCAGCCCATCGGCTATGAGGAGGGCTCGGAACCCTGACCAACATGCAAGGGTCCTGAGGCTGCCCTGCCAGGCCTGCGGGTGCTCGGAGGGATAGGCACAGCCTGATGAGGGCTGCACGTGGATGTAGGAGCACACAAGAGATGCCACTGAGAGGTTACAGAGGCGTGGGCAGGGGACAGGCACGCAGTCACGTGCAGACAGACGGAGGGAACTGGGAAACGGAAGTTGGCCAGGCTCACCTCTCAGTCCCCGTGGAGTGGGGCCTGAGACCCACGGTGGGGACCCCTGCTGCACCCACCCCCGGGGTGCAGACACAGGTGGGCAGGAAGAGCTGGGACACCAGGGCCATTGCTAGGACTCCAGGCTCTGGGTCTCACCTGCCGCCAGCAGCACGGAGTTCATAAACTGAGTCACCGTCCTCTGGAAGCGCTTCTTGATCTTGGCCAGGGCGAGGTTCATCTTGGATACCTTCTCATCGGTGCTGATTCTGCGGGCCAGCTGGGGACAAGGTAGTTGGTGAGGGGCTGCAGCCTGCCAGGCAGGAGGCGCTCTGTCTGCAGGAGCATGCGCTGTGCCCGCCTCCCCTCATGCCTTCCACACAGCTGCACGTCACAGAGCGGTCTCCCTGTGGGACCGCAGGCTCCCAGGGGAGGCTGAGTTCGGCACCGTCTCTGTGTTCATGCAGAAAATGCTCAAGAAATGCTGTCCCAGCTGGGTGTGAAGGTGCCCGCCTGTAATCTCAGCACTTGAGAGGCAAGAGGATTACTTTGAGTTCAAGGCCAGGCTGGGTTACATAGCAAGACCCTGATTCATAAATAAACCAAAGATTAAAAATGATGTTCTGGGTGGACAAGGGCCCCTGGGAATGTATGCTGCCAGCCTCCCGCTCGTGGTGCTGGAGGGCACCAGGGACCCATCCTCCCCGCCGCTGATGGATTCCAAGCTGCCTCAAGGGAGGGGTTGGTGCTTTTGTGTTTTTGTGGGGAGGGGGTTGGTGCTTTTGGAAGCTCCCATCGGACGCAGAGGACAGGTGGGTTCGGGCCTCTGCAGCGAGGCTGGGTGGGCAGAGGACAGGGTTCTGGGAATGCCGTCAGCATGTGTCCTCCTTCCCCTGCAGAGGCTCTGTGAAGGACACCGGCTGACAGGAAAGCCTGTCGCCTTCGATAGCTTCCTCCAGCCGCTGCTCCTGGTTAACTTTGTTTATTTATTTGTAATTTATACCCAGCCTGCTTCTGAAAAGGATTCGAGCAGCTCTGAGCTAATAAAGCATTTAAATCGAGGCGCTGCTGTGATGGACGACCTCAGCAAGGAGCCAGGCCCCGGGCTGTAAAAGCAGGGCTGCTGCTCTGCCTGTCACTATGATGGGTGGCTTTTCCAGGAAGGCGGTGCTGGGGAAGCCATTTAACACGCTTCCCGGTGATGAGGACTCTGTGGGAGACAACAACCCCACCCTCACTGTCCTAGGTGTCCTGGGATTTGGTGGAACCAGCCCCAAACCTGCAAGGCAGGCTTGAAAGGGTCACAAAAGCACCAGAAGTGGGGTGTGGTAAAGTGGGGTAGGCCCTTCCATGTGACTAAAGAGATGGAGAAAGTGGCTAGGTCCCACTTCCTGGGGCAGGACGGGTCCATGACAACTCTCAGGGTTCCAGGATCCAAGATGGGCTGATCATCAGAGTCTCGGGGGTTTCATGTATAAATATCCAGGGACGCTGACTCCAGCAGTCTGGGTAGGCATCCAGCAGTGCTGTTGGCATGAGACGCTGGGGCATGGAGTCATTTGTCCTGGTCGTCTAGGTGGAAGTCCTGGTCTGTGTGACAACACATGCCGTGTCTCACCCAGAGGCTGTGACCCCACATGCCTTTCCTTAAGGTGGCGCGATTTGCCAAGGCTGTGTTAACATGCTGGTCTGCTTATCCTATCATTAAACACCCCAAGGTGGTTACGCTCTCTGAGTTACTGTGTCACTTTAACAGCGCCTCAGCCTCCTCCTGCCCCCAGGCCTTTGTGAAAGTCCCTTGGTGGGAAGCTGGTCGCCAGGGCAGTAGTGTAGAAATCCAATGTGAGCTGCTTGTAAACGTTTAGCAGCCACACAAGAAACATTCTGGAAGGAGGAATTACTTCTAATCCTATGGTAATTTAACACAGGATATAAAAATATGATCATTTCGGCCTGAAATGAAAATAGGTCATGAGAAGGTTGTTCTGTGCCCTCCTATCCCTGAGCCTCGGAGAGGCTGCATCTTCTCAGAGTCTGTCTCCGTCTGGGTCTGGACCTGGCTCCGTCTGAAGCTCAACAGCCCTGCAGGCGGCCGCACAGCTTGGGACTTGGGTTCTAGCTGGCCAACGCTGCATTGAAGAAAGGCACCCAGGCTGGAGAGCAGAGGCTCTTGCCCGCGCCAGGAAGGTGTGGCGGGGTCTCCACGTGACTTCTCTCCGCAGCTCAGGGGTCTCTAAGGCATGGATCCTGGTCTGCAGCTGCATCCCACTCTTCAGAGCCCCACAGAAGGAGATTGCCAGAGAGCAGAGCATGACGACAATTGGATGAGGATGGAGTTTCCTGATGTCAACTGCCTTGAACAGAAAAAATAAATATGTGCTTCCTTTCCCTTGTTTAACGGTTTTCATGCAGTGCAGAAGAATGACCTCACATACAGTGTCTTTGACAGTGACCTTTAGAACAAGAAGGTGGAGCCAGCGGACAGGATGAATGCAGCCACCTGCTCTCTCTCTTCTCCTTCTCTCTTTCCTTTCTTCCTGGTGCTGGAGATGGAACCAGGGCTTCGTGCACCCCCAGTAAGTGCTCCTCTCTAAGCCCAGCTCCAGCCCGTGGTTGTCCTTCCCCTTGTGGAAGCAGCATGGGTTGACCTTTCAGCATTGCATGTCTTGGTACCTTGGGAGACCTCTTTCTGCATGATTTCTTTCCTCACCCCCCACGACCCCCAAGTGCCCCTCTGTTTTAGTTACTTTTCTTTGAGAAAAAATGCCCAACACCCAGAGTTAAGGAAGGAAAGTTTTATTTAGCTCACAGTTTGTGGAGGTTTCAGTCCCTAATTGGGTGGCTCCGGGGCAAGGTGGCACATGGCAGAGGGGCAACAGTTCATGGTCACGGAAGACAGCAAAACCAACAAGCAACAGCGAAAGAGAGAAACAAGCTTCTTTCTGCCCCCTGTATCTTACCCAGATCGTCAGGATTCGGGCAGTGCCAATCTAATCAGTGGAGCGATCCAGCAATCACCAGCCTTAACCCCAGCACCCTTCATCCCAGCATTGCACTATGAATTAGTCAGCAACTCTAGGTTCAGCTATGTCCAAAAAATCCTGCCTCCCATGACTACATGAGGCTTTGGGAGGACATCTAGGCACAAACCATAGCACCCTCTGACCGCCACACCTCAACGATCAGGAGGGATTATGCTATAGAAACTTTTGCCCCTTCTTTACTGAGAGCATCGTTATAGCCTGGAGGGAACACAGCTTCGTCTCTAACTCCCCGGCAGCCACCCTGGCCTGCTGCTGTGCAGAGCAACGTCTCCAGGGTCCCTGAGTGAATCAGGGGAGGTGAAGTGTGCAGGAGAAAGCATCTGGAAAAGCAGGAGAGCCTCTTCTCTGAGCGCACAGCACTTCCTCCTGAGTCCGTTTTGATGTCCTGATCTGTGCCTCCCTTGTGTCTCTGTGTCCCTGTGCATCATGGCCAAATGTCCTCCTGGCCCTGCCAAACCTGAGGCTCCCCAAGTGTAGGACAGGCTGGGGTAGATGTCCCAGAGCCGGACCCTCCTGCTCACCTCTTACAACGTATCATCCGGGCTGGGGCACCTTGGAGAGGGAAGGGGTATGTTCGCAATTCTTCTGTGCACTGTGTATGTGGGGCCAGCCCTGGGCCAGCTGGGAGGTGTGGCCCCTGCTCCTGCTCCCAGGAGCCATGGCACAAAGCACCCTTGGGGACATTTCTCTTGAGGCGTAGGGACTGTGTCCTCTTCGCCTTCTCCAGTTCCTTCCATGATGATGACGTGGCACCAGCTCCTGTGGGATCCGTGGAGACCCAGCGGAGGGAAGAACTGGAGTCCCAGGCTCCATCCCAGAACACGGGAAAGCACCGTTGGCGTCTGTCCATCGGGGCTGCACCCTCAGCTCCAAGCCCCCGGGGACAGAACTTGTGCAGCCAGAATCACATCTGGACTGAACTCACAGAGATGCTTTGCTCTTGCCTTCTCCTCCAAGTGATTTACACTGCATTTCCAGCGCCCTGGTGTTTATAGGCCATCTCGAGATGAGTTAAAGCAGGTGTGAGGCTCTTCTCCGAGTGCACAGCATTTCCTGCTGAGTCTGTTTGGATGTCCTGATGTGTACCTTTCCTGCATCCCTGTGTCCCTGTGCGTCATGGCCAAGTGTCCTCTTGGGCCCTACCAAACCTGAGGCTCCTTGAGAGTAGGACTGGCTGGGGTAGAGCTGGACCCTGCTACTCAGCTCTTACAACGTATCATCCGGGCTGGGACATTTTGGAGAGGGAAAGGGTATGGAGAAGGCTGTAGACAAAATGCCAGCCTGGCATCATTTTGTACACGCATGTGCAGGAAGTCCCAGAACCGGTCCCTCCTGGACCAGGAGGATGACGTGTGTCATCTGAAGCCGCCCTTTGCTGGCCCCCAATAGCTGGTGTTGGAAGGAACCCAGGAGGCTCCCAACTTGGTGAGGAGACCGAGGTGTACAAAGAAGCAAACGGAGGATTTTCCGCTGAGGGCCCAGGAAGGGAGGGGGACCCAAGCTGGCCACACAAGAGGGAGGAGAGGTGCACTGGTGGCTTTCCTGTCCTGTCGCACCCCTGTGCACCTGAGGCTCCCTTGGGATGGTGCTTGCCCTCATCCTGGCCTGGGTGCTGCCTGGGGTGGGTCCTGTCCCCAGCTGCCCGAGGATAGCTCGAACTCATCTGGCTGTGGGACCGTCTCGGTTCTCCTCCTTCTCCACCTCCTTCCTGTCCATGGTGTGTGGCTCAACATGGAGCCCAGGCCTTGTGTGCAGCGGGCCGACCTGACATCCTGCTGGAGAGTCTAGGATTCAAAGCTCTGGTCATTTTAACCCCAGTGGAGAAGCTCTGAGAATAGGCCCAACCCAGAGGAGCACCGAGGGTGGGGAGCTGGGGGATCCTCGAGGGCCAAGGGGAGCCATCCTGAAGCTGTGTGTGCCGGGCTTCTCAGGCCAGGCGCTGACTTGCTCTCTCTTTGTGCTCAAAGCCAGCCCACGGGGGCTTCTGCTGCTCGCAGAGGGCAGGGAGGCAGAACTAGGGCTGGGCAGCAAAGGACACAGCGAGGGATGTGAGACCTGGGCGGGGCTGCAGAGGCGGCAGAACCTGGGGTGGGAGGGGTGAGCGCTTGGTCATCGGCCACTGTGCCGTACCCGCTTTTCCTGTACCGTCCCGTGGGGACAGTTTCTGGCCGACACAGTGAGCGTCACTGTCTCGTTCAGGGACGTGAAGGTGACCACGATGGAGTCCTGCCCCGACACCTTGAGCTTCAGCTGCTCATTCACCTGCAGGTGGAGAAACCGTGCTCAGGGACGCTACCCTGGGGTCCTGCTCACCCCTCCTGCGCCACTGAGAGCCCAAGACTGGGGCTACTCCCGGCCTGCGGCCTGGATAAGCTCTTTCCAGCCCTTTGCTGGAACTGAGCTGCCACTCGGAAGGCAGAGGAATCCCTGTCTGTGTTGGGAGTGACCTGGGGAAGGGACCAGCCCTCCTTCCTTCCCATCCCAGCCTGGAGCCCTCAGTGAGAAACACAGGGTCAAGCAGTGTGACTGGAAGCAGACCCTCTGTCCCCACACGAGGTCACACTGTGTCCTCTCCATAGCAGGCAGGAAGGCACAGGGTGGCAGGGAGTGGCAGAAAACCACCTCTCAAGGGTAGGGGACAGGTGCCAAAGGGAACCGGGAAGGGCTGATGCCCACACGCTCAGTCCCTTCCCTTAGAGCCAGCAAACTGTCACCAACGCTTGCCCTGCAGCACAGCAAGAGACAGGCAGAAAAAGGAACAAGAAGCTGCACTCCCTGCCCGCTCCAAGAGGACGGGCTTGTGCCTCAGCAGGAGCCCGGAGAGGGCGAGGGTCCTTCCTCCTGACACTGTAGCTTCCTCCATGCTCTTCTGCCTCCGGTTAAGCCCTGTCGCTTCTCTGAACCTCAAATCCTTCCCCATAAATGGCTGAAAGGTTATGATGAGGTTCAGATGCAGCAGAGACCGTGGAGGTGGCTTTGGAGCCGTGAAGGCCCTGCCCCGTGTGAGCGGGGGCCGTCAGGGTGTGCGGACCACAGGGCAGAGTGTGTGTGTGAAGCGTGCTTGTCCCCACGCACACTCAAGTGTGTAGCCCTGCTCTGCTAAGTTCCCCAATCCTCAGTGCCCCAGGTCCCCCTGAACTCCTTTCCACTCGCCAGGGGCTGTCTGCGTCTTCCTGCTACTCGGCAGTCTGGGTGCTTGTGCCCTCTCCCTGGCATCGTCCATCTTGCTACTCAGTCTCATTTCCAGGAAGCACTGCCCTCCCCCATTCTGCCAAGTGGTGCAGACTGGAGCTGTGGCCGAGAGCTCAGGCGGCACGGCAGGGCAGGGTTCGAGCGCTGGCACTGCCCCTTCCCAGCGGAGCATCACAGGGAAGGCTGTTGGCTTCCCCGGAGTGGGGACCAGAACAGACTCCTTCCCTGGGGGCACTGAGCACATTTCATGGGATGAACATGCGTGGGGCCAGCCGGTGCTGCTGTTATTTGTCATCCCTGCTGCCTGTGTGGTTTCCCCTTGTCCCATCAATGCCCCAAATATGGGCGCTCTATAGACCCAGGCAGAGCTTGTCTCCTTCAGATGTCATTAGTAAGCCTGTCACATCCTTCACCCCCAATCTCTTGCCCAGGTCAGGACCTATGTCACAGTAACAGAGCCAAATTGGCACGTCTGAAACCACGCTGGCCATTGGCCCTCTGGGAAAATTTCTGCTTCCTTTCACACCACGTCACGGAGACATCTGTAATTCCCTCCAGCGCTCATCTGTGCCCACGTCTTGTGCCGGAATGCCATGGCGTTCTTTCTCTGAAATGGCCCTTTTAAAATGTGGCCAATACTTTTATCAGGTCAGGTCTGGCCCACAACCACCCACCGGTCACCCCTCTCCTGCCAGGCTTCCACAGAGGCTGGGCTGAGCATTCCAACCTGCAGAGTAAAAACCACAGCCAGTTCCACTTCCAGTACAGCTGAGCCAGCTCCTAACAGGCTGACCCTCCCACAGAGGATTATAAACTTGAAAAAATACAACTACCCAAAGGTTCAGAGGAGTGGACAGAAGCAGGGCCCCTGTGGGGAATCACTCAGACTGTCTTAAAGCTCACAGGTTTCTAAGGACACCTGAGGACGTGACCCCGCAGTCGACTGAAGGCACACAGTGGGATATAGTTCTATAACCATGACTTAGCACAGGTAAACACACATGCGCTGGTTACAGCACTATACAAGAATGCAAACATGGAAACAACCTGTATAAGAGTTAACCAATAAAGACACAGACTTCTCTTGAGCTCTTGGTCTGTTCGGCTGCTTACTACCGCTATGTTGCTGATATCGGCCTCTGTGTGTTTTCTCTGGGGACCTCACACATGAATTCACTCCTTCAGCCTTCTCGACCAGACAAGCCTAAACTTAAGAAGCAGCATGGGATGAGTTTCAGATTCCCATCTCTGGCTTGAAGGGAGGCCACTGTTACAGCTGCAATCCACCATCTGCCTGGCTGGAGAACCCACAGGCACAGCCTGTGGTAGCCACGGTCATGGGAACACATGAAGAGAATCCCAGAGGGACAGTCAGGAGAGCCCTGAGTGCATCCGAGCCACCCACATCTCTGGCTGATCCCTGGACCACACATGAGCAGGGCGGATAATGAAACTGCCTGAGACAACACGTGTTTAAGTCTAACCAACTACTTTGCCTGTTACAGCAAAAGTGATATCTTCAGAGATGTGTGTCAGAATTCAGAGACACCGTAACAGAACAGTCGCAGTGCCTGCCTACAATCCCAAAATTACTCAGCAGGTGCAGAGCCAGGGAAGAGCAACCAGCTGTCAAGGCAACAGAGACCAACAACCCTGCCCGATGTGACCACAGTATCACCATTTTCAGACAAGAAATTTAAAGCAGCTAATTTAACTTTATTCAAAGATCATTGGGCATGGTGGTGCATGCCTGTAATTCCAGCACTCGGAAGGCTGAGGCAGGAGGATCGTTGCAAGTTTGAGACCAGCCTGGGCTACAAAGTGAGCTCAAGGCCAGCCTGAACTGCATAGTGAGACCCTGTCTCAAAAAAGACAAAAAAACAAAACAAAACAAAACAAAAACAAACAAACAAACAAACAAAAACTTTATTCAAAGAGATAAAGGAAAATATACCTGTAAGGAATTATAAAATAGTGAATTATCAACAGAGACATAGAAAATGTAAAAATAACTACATGGAAGTTCTAGAACTGATAAGTGAAATTTAAAAATTTCATAAGAATTACATAATAGTGAAATGGAGATGACAGAAGGAAATTAGTGAAGTTGGAGACAGGCAGGTCAAGAGAAATTACAGAAATTACAAGACAGAACTTGAAGAACTTTTGGAACAATATCAAAAGGTCTAACATACATACAATGGAGTCTACAGAAGAAAGGAGGGAGGAACACAATTTTTATCTAAAGAAGATTTAGATTCCCCAAATTTGGTAATATTAATTTATATAAATTTACTGATTCAAGATGCTCAGAAAACCCTCAATGGAATAAACATGAAGAAAACCACACCTAGATGTATCACCAATGCAGAAACCCCAAGAGAAAAGAACATCTTTAAAGCAGCTAGAGAAAATGAGCTGTGATTTGAACAAAGACAGACTTCTCATAATAAACTATAAAGGACAACCACAGTGGAATGATGTCTTTAAAATAATAAAAGAAAAAAAAGCCAACCCAGAATTCCATAGTTATCAAAAAATAGCTTTTGATCAAGAGATGTTCACATAAAGGAAAATAGAGGTGTTGCCTGTAGATCTGCACTTCAAGTAATACAAGAAGTTCTTCAGGTCGGAGAGAAATGGTACCAGAGGGGAACAGTCAATATCTGGGTAAAAACAAACTGGTCCAAGAGAGCATGAAATTGCCCCAACCTGACACCCAGTGCTTCTCACCCTTCCATGTATCCCACACCCTTCACCCTGACTTCCCTTCACCAGAAGCTCTTGTGAACGCAAAGGTGGCTCAATTTGTCCAGCACCAAGCCTTTCATGTACTGTCTGTTCTGCCTGTGAGTTTCCCTTCTCTTTCACTCCTGTATTACAACTCCAGAGGCACCTTCTCTCCTGGACCACTCCTGACTGCACAGCCCACTAACCTCAGCTCCAGGGAATGTAACAACTCTGCACTCTGCTGACTCACCTTAGTGATGTCAGGTTGCCTTCATCTCCCATGAGACAGAAGGGCAGGGTTGGCAACCCCCCCACACACACAGATGAGAAGCTGGTGAGACCACCAAGGTATGGTAATGTCAGCATATGAGCTCAACTCCGCACACTCTCACCCGGGTTCTCTGTCTGCTGCGCTATGCACACACATGACATATGTTGCCCGCCTTCAACTGACTGAGACCTTCTTGGAGACAAATCTTTCACACAGCCACGGGATACTCAGACAATACAGTACACCCCTATGTTGAGGACATCAGACCTGGCCGTTGTCAGAAATACTTAGGGAAATCTGAAACTCTTGACAGATCAACTGAGTCAGGGTCCTTTGGGGGCTGTGCCTGGGATTCGTATTTTGTTCAAAGTCCTAGAGGTGGTTCTGATGTGCAGTCAGCCAAGACTGCTTCATCGTGGAGCTAACTGCTAATGACCTCCACGTTCCTGCCTGGGCGTCATGAAGGAGAGAAATCTGAGTGAGATGCGATCCAGAGGACCGTGGTCTAAGGATGAGACCCTGGTGGCCAGTGAGGAGGCTGCACCAAAGGCAGAGGCAGGCAGACATCAACACCCGGAATGCTTCTGTCCACAGCGCTCTCTTTGGGACTCCTTCTCAGGCCAGCTTGGGTAGATTCCATGTTCTGTGGCATTTCTCTGAATCCCAACCCAGCAAGTATGACCCTCTCTCCCCTGGCTGCTGTCCTTGCTGCCCTGTGCTTCACAACTTCTCCGGACCTCTGAGTTCCATGTGGGGTCTTGTTTAACCTTCTATCCCCTATGGGGAGATCCTACCCCTTTAGACGCTAAATTTGGCACTGTCTGAAAAGGGGTTTGGTTGTCATGGCTGGCAGACACCTAGCAGAGTCCTGCTAAACATCCCACAATGGGGTTCTAACAAAGTAGCATCCATCCCACAATTCCAGTAGTGTCAATGATGGGAAGCTCTGCCCTAAATGGACTGGCAAGCACATTCAATAGCCCCATAAATAGACAATATTTTTTTTAAAATCAGCATTATTATTTAAAATATCTTTGGTGAATGGCTATCTGAACAACCAAACGGATGAGCAAACTTTAGGTCTCTCTGCCATCTTGACTTCTAGATTTTTTGTTTTGTAAACAGTGAGAATACGAACACAAGAACTGGTGAGGTGAACCTAGAATCACTGACTCTTATTATTGACCCTCACCAGCATTAAAAATAGAGCTATCAATTACTATAACCATTACTTCATAAAGTAAAGGTTATTTGGGCAATAAAAATATAATGGCATTCATAATAAAAATTAAATAGGAATGACATTTCCACAGCCGATCAACATAGCAGACACCAGCTGCTGTATGTGGTAGACAGTGCATTTCAACCCACCCTGGCTACCACCCACCAACTGGGCCTGAGAATGCACCCAGCATGCCTGGTGGGCAGGGTCCCTGTACTCTACCTTGTACTCTAGGGAGAGCAAGGTCTCCGTCTTGGACGTCCAGCTCCACTTGTGGATCACAAAGCCTTTGTGGTCGTTGGTGGTCCCGCCTTCCTCATCCAAGACCAAGACGTAGGGGCAGCTGGGAGACACAGTGGGGAGAGCTGCTTCCAGACCCTGACAGAAGCCCACATCCGTGCAGGCTGGGAGCACCTGCTCCAGGCTGGAGGAATGTGGAGACCTATAGGTACCCTGGTTTCCCCGCCTAGGATGGCCTGTGGCTCCTGGGCATCTGCTGAGGCTATAGAGGTCTGTGGACAAGGGCCAGTCTGAAGGAGAGGACAATGTCAGGCCAAACCCAGGAGCCTAAGCACATGGGAATTCAAGCACCTAAATGGGGACTAGGATACCTACAACATGAGAACAAATCATCCTTTCCAAGAATGGCTCCCGATGTGAAGCCAGAAAAAAATCCACCTTGAGCTGGTAAGAATGCCTCTCCACCACCCATTCCTGGCACCAGATTCTGTTCTGCCCTAATGGACCCCTCTGTGGGGCCCAGGGATGTGGCTCAGTGGTAGACCGTGTGCCTAGCACATGGGAGGCCCTGGGTCTAATCCCTAGCACAGTAAAAATAAAAATGTTCCCCCAGGAATATGACCAACAGTTAAGATGTTAGCACTCTGGGGAACCACACTGAGGAAGATCGAGAGTAGCCTTTCTCACTGCCGAGACATGGACTCGGCAGGCAAGGGCTGGCCTCTAAGTACCTACGCTTCCACAGCACTGCCTTGACCCTGCCTCACCTAGACCTCTGGGCATATTCTGGACCCTCCTTTAATCAGGGACTTAGTCGCCACTCCGGTCCCCTCACTACACCAAGGGAGAGCTGAAAGGGGGTAGATGTCTCCTGACCCACTTACTGTGTTTTTAGGTTGTAGTGAACACAGCCCTGGCCTTCGGCATTGAACAGGGCCAGGAAGGAGTAGGCAGGTATGTCGTTAAACAGGCAGGTAATGGCTTTCTCTCTGCAGCACGTGGGGATCTGACATATGGCAATGTTTCCAGAGGGATAGCTGGCGGAAACGGTCAAGTAGAGCTAACAGAATTTCTCTGGGTTCTTGCTCTCTGGTGCCCATAGAGGTAAGTCTATGTCAGATGAGCTACCTGGTGGTGCAGATCACTCCTGATCATCACAGAAGCTGTCCACACTTTGCGTATGTAATGACTCAATCACTACGGAAACCAACCTCTACCCAAGTGTTTTTCCAGGTCTTCTTTGTTCATCACAACAGCTGTGGCAGGTATCTCCGTATCAGATGAGCACTGTTTCCCTGGATCTGGTGGGTTTTGGGTACAAGAAATTTCTGGTGGTAAAACCAGGAAAGTCCCAGGAAAACCGGGATGAGTTATCACCTTATTTATGAGGAATTTAGGGCATAGAAATTGACCCACCCATAACACATCCTAAGGAAGGAGCAGAACAGGATCTGATTTCTGGGCCCAGCAGTATTTCTACTGCTGCCAGGCTGCCTCCTCTTCTAGCCAGTGAGGAGAGTGAGCAATGTCTCCCTGTCCGTTCCCCCAGCTAAGGGGCCTCGTGACAGTTAAGGTGGAGTGTAAATTTGATAGGTGTGGGGATGTACCTGAGGGACTGATGGAACATACTCATGAGTGTGCCTGGATGGGTCATACAGGTGTGACCTTGAGGTCTATATCTGGCCCCTCACCCCATCCTCTCTGGTGCTGATCCCCTGCTCTGCTTCCTGCCAGCCAAGAACTAAGCATCTTTGCCCCACTGTGCTCTTCTGTCATGATGCTTCTACCTGGGAGCAGCCAACCATGGGCTAAATCCTCTGAGACTGAGAGCCAAATTAAGCATCTCTTCCTTGAAATTGTGGGCATCAGATAGTGTGACTCTGCGAGGAAAGAGCTGACTAATACAGGGCAAGAAAGCCAGGATCCTGACTAAGCAGGACATAGCAGTGGCGGCTCCGTCTTGTATGTAGAGATTGTAGAAGTATCCCGGACAGAATTTCACTGCTTGGCGCAGGATTCTACCCTCCCCTAAATCTTTCTTAAAAGCTGGAAAAGAAGGAATTAACATACAGAAATTTTAATAAGTGGTCTAGAGAAGAGTCTGGAGCTGAACAGTATAATAACTGAAAGGAAAACTTCACTAAATAGTTTCACCATCAGATTAGAGCAACAGGAGGAAAACATTGGTATAAAGACAGTATCAGTGAAATTATGCAGGGTGTAGAGCAGAAAGAATAAAGAATGAAAAACCCTATAATACCAGCACTCTGGGAGGCTGAGACAGGAGGCTCACAAATTCAAATGAGCCTAGGCAGTTTAGCAACTTAGTGAGACCTTGTCTCAAAAAAGAAGCAGCATGCTCGGGAGTGCTGAGGATGAAAAAATAAATAGACAAATAAAAAAATAGAGACTCACGGACCTATAAGAGACCACGAAGCATACCAACATATGCATATTGGGAGTCTCAGAAGGAGAGACAGAGAAAGAAACAGAACTGCCCAAATTTGGTGAAAGACATAAATCTACATGTTCAAGAAGCTCAAAAATTTCAAGTAGGATGAGAGACACATAATTAACTGTCAAAAACAACTTTGGAAATAGCAAGGGGGATGTGATGAGATTCATGTGAGCCCAGTGAGATTAATGGCTAATTTCTCATCAAAAACTGTGGAGGCCAGGAGGCAGTGAGACGAACTATTTAAAGAGCTCAAAGGAAAAACACAAACAAAATTGTAAAACAAGAAGTGCATTCCAATTTTAAAACATCTTTCAGAAATGAAGAAGAAATTAACACATGCCCGGATAAAGCAGAGGGGGAGTTCATCTCTATCAGACTTGCACTATAGAAATACTAACAGAAATTCATCAGGCTGGAATGGAAGGATAAAAAATAGTAGTCTAAAGCTGGCCAAAAGAAAAAGTACTGCTAAAGATAACTCAGTAAATAAATATAAAATCTAGTACTCTTGTATTTTCAGTTTATAATTTGGCTTTTCCCCACATGACTGGGATAATAAATGGATAAAACAGTAATTATAAACCCACACTTATAGACAATTAATGTATATTTGAAGATGTAATTTCTGATACAGCAAAATAAAGGGGGATGAATGGAATTCTTAAGCAGAACTTTATATACTATTGAGGTTAAACTGTTAATTCAAACCAGTTTATGAATTAATTAAAAACCACTCAAACTAGCTTATCAGTTGTGACACCCAGGTATGCTAGTTTCCTGGAGTTACTATAAGAAAGTACCACAGACCTGGTGGCTCAGAAAGCATCAGAAATTTATTTCTTCACAAGAGTGGAGGCTAAAATTCTGAAATCAAGGTGGCAGTAGGGCAATGGGGTTGGAGGCTCTTGCAAAGAGTCCTTCCTTGCTCCTTCTGGTTTCTAGTGGCTACCTGGGACCCTTGGTATTCTTTGGCTTACAGTGTCTGTCTCCATCACCACATGCCTTTGCCTCTGTGTTGTCTGTTTTCTTCTCTTCCTGCAGGGGCACTGGTTATGCAGGGGGCCATTCTAGTCCAAAAAAACTGCATTTTTTTTTTATTTCACTTTTTTTTTTCCCCTGGTACTGGGGATTGAACTCACGACCTTGCACTTGCCGGGCAGGCACTGTGCCTCTGAGCTAAATCCCCAGCCCCTAAAAACTGTGTCTTAATAATCATATCTACAAATACTGCACTCCAAATAGACATGGGCTTCAGGGAGACACTACTTAACCAGTAGAGACAATATACTAGGCCACAAAACCTCAATACATTTTTGAAAGATTGAAACCATAGGAAGTACCTTCTTTGGTCACTATAGAGTGAAAGTAGAAGGAAGAAAATTTGGAAAATTCACAAATTCTGGAAATGAAACAGCATATTCTTAAACAACCAATGGATGAAGAAGCCACAAGGGAAATTAGAAAATACTTTCAGATGAATGAAAACAAAAGCAAAACAAACCAAACCTTGTGAGAGAAGGTGACAGTGATCAGAGAAAAATTTACACTTAGAAATACCCACCTTAACAAGGTACAAAGATCCCAGTAACCCAACAATAAACCTAAAGGATCTAGAAAAGAAGAATAAACTAAAGCAATGCTATGGCAAGCAGAAACACCAAAACGACTCCTAGGATTTGGAGGAAGATTCATTTATGTCGATGGGCACTGATAGGGATCATTCCCAGAATAACAGGCCCTGATCTCTGGTGGTCTAGGGCTTACAGGGGATAAGCAAGCAGGAAGCACAGAAGCAGAATGGCTCGTCTATTGGGGACTGGTTCTCACAATATGCATCGTAGTGACTAGCTGTGCATCACAGTGACCAGCCATTTCTAAGAAACAAAAGGGACAGGAACTGTGACTGGAACTATTACCTGGGCAAATAAGAAACAGAAGTGTACTGGTGAGGGGTGCATTTTCTGCTACATTTGCCCTCTTTTAGTTTCCTTGGCAAATCTTTGCTGGGCATGTTATATGTGATCTTCTGAGACAAGCCCCAACTAGAGGCAATAACACTGGGGCTGTCAGTGGTGCTAGGATGTGCCCTAGCCAAGGTCTTCAAGACTGAAAATTCCCACCGGGGTGTGTGGGTTTTTCCTCTTATATCATTTGTAAAGGCCTTACTGGTTATTTTTTATTCTCTCAGGGCAATCATCCACAGAGCTAAGGCAAAGCAAGGACTGGGGTAAGCAGCCACAGTTACTCAGGAGGTCCATGTAGCACCTGGAGAGTTAGGTCTCAGCCTAAATTGAGCTTGTCAGCGTGCTTGATCAGAAGGACAGTGGTTGTTAGAGCACAGAGGGAAAGTAGGGAGGCAGGCCTTAGTAACTGGATCCAAATATTTGCACAGGTTGGTCACTGGGTGCTCCCAGGGGCTGACAGTCTGAATAAGCATCATCGTTTTTGTGAACTCAAGGATCCAGATTCTATAGAAGCCAAAAGCTCTGAGAAATTTGTGGAGTTTCTTTCTTGTAACCAGTTTCTTCCAGATATCGCAGCAGAGTTTTTGTGTCTTTCTAGCAGGCAGCTTGGGTGTCATTAATCAGAAGTGCAGTGATATTTCCTAGTGGGAAACTAGTGAGGTCAGCAGTGAGGGCTTCTAAAGGAGATAAAAAAGTTGTTGAACCTCTAGGAGGTTGAGTCCAGGTCAGGTGACTTTTGTGTCCAGAACTAGGGTCTTTCCATTTAAAGGATAAGGGGGGCTGGCTGACAGGAGCCAACTGAAGGCAGGAGGGGATCTTGGTGAGGCAGCATGCTTGATGGCCAGGCCCAGAGGTGAGTCTTGGCTCATACCTCTGGGAGGAGAGTTTTCAGAATTTCAGCGTTGTGGTTATCTGTCTCAGGCTGATGCAGGTGTCACCTTCTCTCAGGGAACAGTTAAAGTTGAAAGTTCAGGGTTAAATGAGAGGGAGGCTGACTGGATTGTTTGCAAAGGAGATGGTTGCTTCTAATTTGAAGAGGAGGTCTCCTCTCAGAAGCAGTATGGGGACTGGCTTATATAAGAATTCACGTTTGGTGAGATGCCCTCCCAACCTGAAAGTTTGTGCCTGGAAGAAGGAGTGAGAGGCAAGAGTCCCAGTTGCCCAGGGATGGTAAATTTTTGACAGAAGGAACTTTTGAAGGCAGAGTTCTGTTCATTGTCTACCAAGAAAGTCACAGGTTTGCCTCCAACTTTTGCAATGACTGCAGGCTCTTGGGGTTCGATAGAGATCAGTCTTTCTTGTCTATTCAAGCCTGACAGGATGAGGAGAGGTTCAGGTTGAGGTGAGTCTGGATAGTAAAGTTTTTTTGTGTCTCACAGATGGAGGGGGCATTTATTTTTTGTGTCCTTAGCCCTTATAATTCATAGCCCAATGGTATGGTAATCTATCAGAGTGGATTTTCTTATAGACATCAGGTGCTTTTCTTTGATCAGGTTTCTGGGTAACAGTTGTTGATGGGCTTTTTGCTCCCCTTTTTGTTGTCTTTGAGAGGCACTTGACTGGGTTGTTTCTAAGCTGGGGAACCTTTGGAAAGGCCATGCAACTCATTTGTCAG